ACGCTCGCCTGCGGATCTGAAGGTAGGGGGTTCAAATCGGAATAAAGCTGGACTTTTTGTTTCTTCCTCAAAAATGAGCTTGGCTCCCAAGTCGACCGAGCCTTAAATGGTACCTGATAAAGTCCTGGGAAGTAAAGACGGACGGCGTGTTGTTCACCATATCACACCGAGTGCCGATTGGTCTAAAAAATATAGGTCTATCCCTATATGCCCGAAGAGAGAGAGAGAGAGAGAGAGAGAGAGAGAGAGAGAGAGAGAGAGAGAGAGAGAGAGAGAGAACGAGAAAGAGAGAGAAGGGGAGAGAGAGAGAAACTTTATTTATTCAGAGGCGGCGCACCTGCACACATGTGTCACCGCCTGGCTAAAGTGTGACATCCATTAAGTAAACACGGTGATGGTACAATGCTTACATAGGACGCTGAGCAGAACACATTTGTTCATGGTTAACTTTTATTTGGCTTTAAGGTCTAATGGATTCACCCTTGTTCTTTTCTATTGTCCTTTACACGCCCTCCTACAAGTGCCAGTCAATGCGCAATAATGTCTTTAATTCAACAATAATTGCACATAAATGTCGTTAATCCATCACTCACACTGCACATTATTCCACCAATCATTGTACAATAATGTCTATTGCACCATTCACTGCACATTAATCTGGCTTCAATCACCAAACACTGCACCGTTTGATTCCCTCAAATTGGACTCCAGCTGTGGGAAGCTAAATCGGTCAACAAATGCTCCATAAAGTTGGATGTGTTCGCCAAAAGGAACAGCTATCGCAGCTTTGCTGGCAACAGGCACAACACAATTATATAACTCAGATGAACGAGAAGAGACACTTGACTGTGTTAATGAAACAATCTTGATAAATTCATCATTCCTTAAATGAGCAACAGATCAGTGAAATATTCATCCCTAAAGAGAGACTGATTCCCGACAGAGTAGGCCGAGGGCCAGGATGGTTTTCAAGGCACACGGAAAAAAAGCTGGTCGACTTCAAATTAGGCTGCAAAAAGCATTATCAGTAGGGCAACCTTTGACTGTCTCAAGGAAGAGGACAGAGCATTATGGGAATGCCCCAAGCGCATGATGTAGATTCTTGATTCATTAAATGAAGCATGTTTGTCTTCTTTCATTTGTTAGCAAGAGATGACATCTACCGTGCCGTAGGGTACAGTTTCTGGGGACAGAAATGAAGATGTGGATACAGGACGCTGAAGATGCAATGGTCATGTAAGCACCATGGGCTGGAGAATCGTCAAGGCACAGACTTTCAGGCATGCTGGAAAGACGGCAGTGTTGTGTAGAGAAGGTGCTAACTGATGATGTATTTTGCACACATTTTTTGCTCTAGTTCGCTCAATAGTCAATTAAGTTTAGCTTTCACAGTTGTTTCTCCTCAACATAGGGGGCAAGGTAAGTTTCAAGGTGGTGGGGTGGGGGGAGGTAAGGGAATCAAGGAGTTTTGAAACTGGGTGCAATTGTATTTGTAATATTCTCTTTCATACGAACATTTTTCATCTTTTAATCATAAATCAAATATTTTAAAAAAAGTTTTACAAAACAAAAAGGCAAGGACATTATGTTATTTGATATTGCGATTCATGTGGATGTTTTTCTTGACGTTCTTTTTTCGTTTGCCCTTTTTTCCATCAAATGTTTTTTCCCCCAAAGGCTGTGTCAGCGTGTGGGTGGAGGGCCATGTTATTCAATGTAAGCGAGTGGCATCCTAAAAAAAGAGTTGAAAACCACTGTTCTAAGTCAAATTTGTTTCCTATACAAGACAGTCTTGGGTTGTTTTTTTAAACGATGCATCTTTCCTTCAAGAAAAAAAGAGACAACACAGCAGTAATAAATTCACAGCAACTTTTATTATGAAAATCAACGACATCTGTATAAATGGTTGCACCTCCGAAGCAATGACTCTGGAAGCTTCTCACACTCACCCACACATATTTGGTCGTAGACCCCCACTAGCAGGGTCTTATCTGACAAGACAGCACACACTGAGACAGAAGAGATGTTTAGGTCACTAAATGAATGCAATCCTAACTCATTAGTTATCAGATTTAAAAAATACATCAATAGAGTTAATCTGTTTTCTTGTAACTCTAGAAGAGTAATTACAAGTCCAGCTGTGAAGATTCTAGCTGGGGGTCTTGTCGCCAGGCCCCCTTTGTTACTCTAGAAGAGTAATTACAAGTCCAGCTGTGAAGATTCTAGCTGGGGGTCTTGTCGCCAGGCCCCCTTTGTTACTCTAGAAGAGTAATTACAAGTCCAGCTGTGAAGATTCTAGCTGGGGGTCTTGTCGCCAGGCCCCCTTTGTTACTCTAGAAGAGTAATTACAAGTCCAGCTGTGAAGATTCTAGCTGGGGGTCTTGTCGCCAGGCCCCCTTTGTTACTCTAGAAGAGTAATTACAAGTCCAGCTGTGAAGATTCTAGCTGGGGGTCTTGTCGCCAGGCCCCCTTTGTTACTCTAGAAGAGTAATTACAAGTCCAGCTGTGAAGATTCTAGCTGGGGGTCTTGTCGCCAGGCCCCCTTTGTTACTCTAGAAGAGTAATTACAAGTCCAGCTGTGAAGATTCTAGCTGGGGGTCTTGTCACCAGGCCCCCTTTGTTACTCTAGAAGAGTAATTACAAGTCCAGCTGTGAAGATTCTAGCTGGGGGTCTTGTCACCAGGCCCCCTTTGTTACTCTAGAAGAGTAATTACAAGTCCAGCTGTGAAGATTCTAGCTGGGGGTCTTGTCACCAGGCCCCCTTTGTTACTCTAGAAGAGTAATTACAAGTCCAGCTGTGAAGATTCTAGCTGGGGGTCTTGTCGCCAGGCCCCCTTTGTTACTCTAGAAGAGTAATTACAAGTCCAGCTGTGAAGATTCTAGCTGGGGGTCTTGTCACCAGGCCCCCTTTGTTACTCTAGAAGAGTAATTACAAGTCCAGCTGTGAAGATTCTAGCTGGGGGTCTTGTCGCCAGGCCCCCTTTGTTACTCTAGAAGAGTAATTACAAGTCCAGCTGTGAAGATTCTAGCTGGGGGTCTTGTCGCCAGGCCCCCTTTGTTACTCTAGAAGAGTAATTACAAGTCCAGCTGTGAAGATTCTAGCTGGGGGTCTTGTCACCAGGCCCCCTTTGTTACTCTAGAAGAGTAATTACAAGTCCAGATGTGAAGATTCTAGCTGGGGGTCTTGTCGCCAGGCCCCCTTTGTTACTCTAGAAGAGTAATTACAAGTCCAGCTGTGAAGATTCTAGCTGGGGGTCTTGTCACCAGGCTCCCCTTTGTTACTCTAGAAGAGTAATTACAAGTCCAGCTGTGAAGATTCTAGCTGGGGGTCTTGTCACCAGGCCCCCTTTGTTACTCTAGAAGAGTAATTACAAGTCCAGCTGTGAAGATTCTAGCTGGGGGTCTTGTCGCCAGGCCCCCTTTGTTACTCTAGAAGAGTAATTACAAGTCCAGCTGTGAAGATTCTAGCTGGGGGTCTTGTCGCCAGGCCCCCTTTGAGGAGCGGTGAGCAAATTATTCCACTACCAAATTTATGAGCTGGGTTGGCAACATGTCGGATGGTCATGAAACAAATTCAGCACCCAGAGGTAGCTTTGACACGAATTCTAGGGTCAGAAAGTGAGTGCATCAGCAAGTCCATGACAGCAGTTTCCAAGTTTCTCCACTGTCACGCCCATACATCCACCCTAGATTCAGGACATCCCCGTAGTTTTAGCTGGATGTAGTTTTCTGATGCTATATTTCTTTCAGTTAAGCTGGACAATTATTGGTCTTCATAAAATAAAAGTTTGGCGCTGCTTCGCCAGACTTACAATAAATATACTAAATAGCCGGAAGGGAGAAAACAGAGACGGATACCAAGAGAAAGTCTGTAGATGTCCCATTCTTACCTACCCTAGGTCTGGTCACAACAAAGTGACACGACAGAGTGATTTTGAGGCCTATAAACAAAGGAAACAAGAGACTTACCGAGCCGTAACAAACATTTAGTAAAAGGTGACCAATTAAGGGGTGCATGATATCGGAAACGTTTGGCTGAACAAATCCAAGCCACGAGATCAAATAAGGAACCAGATTTGTTTGCAAAAACTGAGAATGTGGAGCAATATTGGGAAGTATATAAGAAAACAGGTCCATGCTTGTGGTTATTTAACAAAGCTTTCAAACAAAAACAGAATAAGTTTACACCAGGAATTTACTAAGTCTTTATCAGAATCAGCTGCCAGACAAAGAAATACAAACAATTATCTAGTAGTTCATACAGAAAGTACAGCTCTGTTACATACACATTTGCAGCACAAATTCCCTGCAGCCTTGGCAGAAATACTCTGCTTAAATATAAATTAATCAATAAAGCTTCTTGTAAACAACAGAAGTATCCCACAGGCAGTCCCAGACTTAACCCACTGTCCATCGTACATACAACTACATTCTACAGGCAATCCCAGACTTAACCCGCTGTCCATAGTAGATACAACAACATTCTACAGGCAATCCCAGACTTAACCCGCTGTCCATAGTAGATACAACAACATTCTACAGGCAGTCCCAGACTTAACCCACTGTCCATCGTACATACAACTACATTCTACAGGCAATCCCAGACTTAACCCGCTGTCCATAGTAGATACAACAACATTCTACAGGCAATCCCAGACTTAACCCGCTGTCCATAGTAGATACAACAACATTCTACAGGCAGTCCCAGACTTAACCCACTGTCCATCGTACATACAACTACATTCTACAGGCAATCCCAGACTTAACCCGCTGTCCATAGTAGATACAACAACATTCTACAGGCAGTCCCAGACTTAACCCACTGTCCATCGTACATACAACAACATCCTACAGGCAATCCAAGACTCAACCCGCTGTCCATCGTAGATACAACAACATCCTACAGGCAGTCCCAGACTCAACCCGCTGTCCATCGTAGATACAACAACAGAAGCAACAATAAAAATTATTTTGAAAAATGAAACAAAAGGTCAAGGGCCTCATGCGGGTTGTGAAATGATGTAGCGGTAAGCAAAAGCTGCAGCCAGAGCCACGGCAAGGGGGAGCAACCAGCCAGTCCAGGAACTGCAAACACAAATAAAGCAGCGTTATTGCAAACATGTTTTTGAAACCATTTTTTCTACTCTTGTCCTTCTGACATTGCAAGGAGCTTCTATATCTCTCTGGCCCCGACAGGTGCATCTCGTCTTTTCCCTTTTGCACAAAAACACATGTGGTTATGTTGCCGTCATGACATTTCCCAGCTAGATATTATCAAGGCCTCTTGGCAGCAAGTGAACAGTGTAGGGGCACAAACATATTAGATCATCATGGTATGAAAAGAATGGGGATTGCAGGAAGTGACCAGGGGATGTGGCTGACATGCACAAAAAATGGCAATATGGACACAGAGACTGCTAGTGGTACCAGTGGAACTCTGTGCTGTCTCCTGGAGATGACATGGAGTGCTGTGATGTCAGTAATGATGACACGGAGCGCTGGGATGTTAGTAATCATGACACGGAGCGCTGGGATGTTAGTAATGATGACAATGGAGCGCTGTGATATCAGTAATGATGACAGGAACTCTTGCCTATCCCCAACCATACAGTTGCTGGGGCAGTTACACTGCAGCAACCTTCCAAGGCCTGAAACAATTACACTGGGGCAAAGCACTATCTACAGCAGTAGTTCCCAACCTGTGATCCATATGCCTATGAAGGCTGCGGAACATTTTTAAGGGATCTGTAATCTCATTTAGGAAAAAACACCCCCTTCCCCCCCCCCCCATTTTAATATAGATCTCTCTTAAAAAAAAACAATAAATATATAACTATAAAAAATTATAGGATCTGTGACAAGCTTTTATAAATAAAAGGGAGTCTTCCCTGTGTGGCGCGGCGTCCACAGCTTAGGCGTTGCAATTTTGACGTAATACCAGCGAACCACGATCGAAACTCACTGCTGGCTGCGTGGATTTTGATTGTGGTATGGGGCGTCGCAGGTAGACCAAGCCTAAAATGGGTACCAGGATGGGCTGTCCTGGAAAAGCAAAGATGGCTGGCGTAATGTTGACAACATTACCCACCTAGTGCTGATGGTCTATGAAAATATGGGCGCTCTTTCCATTTGCCCGATACGCCTAAAGGCGTGAAAAGGGATCTTTACTTTGACTTCCCTGTGTGGGTTTCATGTGGAAAACAAGAGCAGACCCACTTCCACCCTAACAAACATGTCATAAGAGTTGACTAGCTAGGGGGCTTCCTTCGAAGTCGGAGCGCATCTGCCCGAGGCAAGGAACCAACAATCTGCATACAAAAAAAGTCACATCTGTAAAATGGACATTCACAAAACACTCAGGTTCTGGAACAAGACTAAAGTTCAGAAGTGGACGAACAACCAGAACTTTCTGCCAGAGTCTACAGCTGGTGAACACAAAGAGGAAGAAGAAGAAGTAGGTCTACGCGTCTTATGTAACAAGGAACCACTGGCTTATAGAACTGTAAACAAACTGTCACACAGAGCAACAGATGGGGAAACAAACACTGACCTGCCAGATTGTGGGTTGGTCCCAGTGGGTCCTGTGTTTGTCTGTGGAGGAAGCAAAAACACAACATTAACACCAGCAGTCACTAAGAAACAGCTCCTTGAAAGTTGTCACTGTAAGCCAACTGTTTATTGTTATCTCCTGTCCAGTGGCATTGATCTAGCCATGTGATCAATGTTTATCACGCACAATTTACAGCTCATTTACTCTGGATAATAGACAATTTCAGGGCAACTTGAAAAGCTGTGATATAACTTGTCTCAAGCCATCACACCAGTTGCCCCCCCCCCCCCCCCCCCACCAAGTGTTTGGCAAAACCTCCAATGCCACCCCTCCTACAAACAAAATGTGATAAGCAAGAGAAGGAAGAATACGTTCTATATAATTAAATGTATGTTACATTAACTAGATTTTTAACAGCTGACGTACAAACTGTTCACAAAAACAATAATGTTCTTTGCATTTTGTTTTCTATATGGTTTAAAACATTATTTATAAACTAGCTGCCCGGCCACGCATTGCTGTGGCCAAGAATGGTGAAATGGAAAAGAAAAAAACAATAGCTCTCAGCTAACAGTGTCTGTCATAACCCTCAACCCTCCCCCACCCAGTCATATCTCCCTCTCCGAAGGATTGAAAAATCATCCCTGGCGAAAGTATTAAAATAGAAATACTTAAGAAATGAGAACTTGAAAATAATGTTTTAAGCTCTCCCAGCTAACAGTCTCTGGCATACCCCCCCCCCCCCCCTTAATATTTCCCTCTCCGAAGGAATGAAAAATCATCACTTGGCGACATTATTAAAATAGAAGTAGTTAAGTGGCGCGGTGATGTATGTCACAGGCGTGAGGGGAAGTTAAGTCCAACATGATGTGTATAAGGAGATACTCCGTACGTCACTCGGGCGCCAGTCCTCCACTATCCTGGTTGTACGGAACCTCACGCAAGACCCATACAGCACGTCCTCGTCGTGCGCCACGGATGTCTCAAATGAGCATTAACAGAGCTGTCAGGGGATCTCGGAGTTTGGCGGCCCCCAGAGGTTATGTGTCCTTGTGGCTCTCATCAGCCCGCCCCCAAACGCTTGGGTGAAAAATGTTATCAAAACTCGTTAGGAACATGAGTAGGTTCAACAAACGTACAGCTAAAATTACAACCCTTGGTTAAAAGACTGCTGAGTAAAGAGAACATTGTTCAATGCACATCCTCTGTTAATTCTCAGTGTCGTCGTCACCGCGCTGAGGTGCACCACAACAGCAACCATACATGGGCTGGCCATCCTTGTGCATCCTCGGTTGGCCCTCAGTGTCGTCGTCACCGCGCTGAGGTGCACCACAACAGCAACCATACATAGGCTGGCCAGTCACGTAATCCTCGGTTAACCCTCAGTGTCGTCGTCACCGCGCTGTGGTACACCACAACAGCAACCATCCATCGGATGGCTAAGCCCAAATGTCCGACAAAACTAGATCATACGGATCAAAATCTGACCATCAAAATTTGCACTGAACTGAAAATGGCCGAATGTCCACACCCAAAGACCCCACTCGCCCGAGTGTTGGGACAAAACTGATAACGATATGCCTGATTCAGGATGTGAAATTCTGTCGGGCTAATGTACCTATCTGTGTGGTCACAAAAGTCCAAAACCCACGGGCTGCTCCCCGCTGACTTCCAGAGGGCGCAGCCCCTGTCGAGCGGGAGGCCTGATACGGTTGTGAGGTTAAGCAGGCATGTGCAGGACGTGACGATTCCTTGGGTGAGCCCAGAACCAGAGCGCCATGTGCCGGCTCTGCATGCATGGAAGCCTCCTTGGATGGCGGGGAATGCCCATGATCTGCCCCTGCCTTCCCTTGAGGGCCAACTGTTCCACAGGGGGCTGCCCCAAAGGGGTACTCCGGGGGCAATACCTGCGGCGAAGGAGACAAGGTGGACACCACACAAATCAGGCAACGTCTCGACCCACACAAAACAATGGCCACAGTCACCCTAGAAATAGGCCTGACGTCTTCCTTCGAAGTCGGCGTACAGCTGCCCAAGAGGCAGGGAAATGAAAAACGGTTGTACATGCAAAAATCAGGTCCAGGTGAATGCCAAAAGTCCAAGCGGACGATTAACCGGGACCTTCCACTGGAATTTACAGCCGGTGTTCGATAAAAAAAAAAAAAAAGAAGTAGTTAAGAAATGATAACTTTAATTTTTTAAGCTCTCTCAGTTAACAGCGTTTGGCATCAACACCCCCCTCCCCTCACTAATCATATCATCCTCGCCGAAGGATGGGAAAGTTATAAATAAACCGAAGAAAATTTTTTTTGTGTGTAATGAAATATTCCGAGTACAAACACACCCATTTTCAAAACTGCCTGTTGTCACCCTGGCAACTTCCTGACACCCCTCTAAGGCCCCCCCATATCTTTCTCCTCTTTCTGGTTTGTCATCAACTTCTGGACCTAGCTCCAGTTCTTGAGTTTTGAGTGCATATCCCTTTCACAGACCTAACTTATTCTGTATGCAGACTGTTGGTTCCTTCCCTCTCAAACAAATGTACTCCAACTGTAAAGGAAGCACCACTAATTAGTCGACATCATGTCCCCCCCCCCCCCCCCTACATTAGGGGCCCTGGAACCCACTCAGGGGGCTCCACTTTATGATATGTACTATGACACTAGAATACGTACTATATGTTGATCGACCAAATAATTACAACAAAACTACATCGGGGACTCTGTGTACTTACAGTGTATGTTTTTGTTGTCCTGTCATCCTGGTTGGAAAAACAAAACAGTGTATAAGTGTCAGGATTCATTTTTTTTTCCATTGATGGGAAATATAAGGATGTATAGAATGTATGTGTGAAATGCATGAGTGGGCAGTACAGAATGTGCAGATAGGACAAGTTGTGGCACACACAGGAAGCAAGAAACTGTGAGTGAAACTTCAGGGGCACGAGAAGTAGAACAGATTATTTAAACATGGAGCAGTTAAGAAAAGCTCAGCCTTGTTTTTGATCCTGTGAGAGACTGGTCCTGTGGCACTTGGAATGCCTGAGTCAAATGTATTCACAGACTGAGTGAGTGTCAGAAGCTGCCAGCCTGTTCACAGACTGAGTGAATGTCACAAGCTGCTGGTCTGTTTCCTGAGAAAAAACCTGGCTATGACTCCACGAGTCATACTTTTAACATTTTAAAATAATACAAATATCACAATCATCATGTAGAAGGTCCCTTGCAGAACATTGCTCTCATCAGAGTCTGCCTGACAGTCTCTCGCCAGCCCTCCCATTTAGTGTTCTTTTATATTCAAGGAGTTACTTATATCCTGTGCCCATCTTTGTGTTGGTTGATCCATGCCCCTCCTTCCTGGTAGCATGCTTTTTTTTACTATAATTTTTTTCCAATCCGCAGTGGCGCTTGATATGACCAAAATATGTTGGCTTCTGAGACAAGATGCTGTTTATTAGCCAATTCTCCTTGATGTTTAGATCTTTTCAAATGTCAGTGTTTTATCTTCTCTTTGTCCATAAATATATGCAATGGCAATAACAGCCCTAAAATTCCATGCACGAGTGGGTCTTGCTAGTCACACTCACTAGTGCCATGCACTAACTTTGGTAGCACGAGTGGGTCTTGCTAGTCACACTCACTAGTGCCATGCACTAACTTTGGTAGCACGAGTGGGTCTTGCTAGTCACACTCACTAGTGCCATGCACTAACTTTGGTAGCACGAGCGGGTCTTGCTAGTCACACTCACCAGTGCTATGCTCTAACTTTGGTAGCACGAGCGGGTCTTGCCAGTCACACTCACAGTGCTATGCTCTAACTTTGGTAGCACGAGCGGGTCTTGCTAGTCACACTCACCAGTGCTATGCTCTAACTTTGGTAGCACGAGCGGGTCTTGCTAGTCACACTCACCAGTGCTATGCTCTAACTTTGGTAGCACGAGCGGGTCTTGCCAGTCACACTCACCACTGCCATGGGTTGTGATTTTCAAGGCTTCCCATAACACAACATAACACCATCGTCTGGAGAGACGGGAAGGTACCAGTAACACACAAAAACTACTAAGTACAGAAACAACATACTTCACGCGTATAACATCAAATATACGAAACTTTAAAATTCAACAACAAACATGTAAGGTCAGGACACAATAGAACAGCACAATTACAAACATATTTGGTTAGGACACAACAGCAAAGCACAATTACAAACATATTCGGTTAGGACACAACAGCAAAGCAAATACCGGATGTACGTCTCCAATAAAATAATCTTTCATCAGCTCTCTAGCATCGGAAGAGTGGCCAACATCCTCAAAGGCTTCTGTGGCATCTCCCCCTGGATAAACAACAATATACAAGTCACGACTCTGTCCTTCCTGGCAACAGTCACAGCTGGGTGCTTAGAACTGCAACCAACAGTGTCACGGTTGGCTAGCTTCTTTCTCTTCAGAGATGCAAACAGTGAAATTTTGTAGCAAGCAATGACCCATACAGCTTCCATGTCAATGACACTACCATGCTGTGCCTGCCAGAAAACTTGCGGTTTCAGGCTAACATGGTACCAACCAGCCCAGATCTGTCTTGCTCCTATCTTGCAAATGGCCTAGCCAGCTGGCAGTCTTGTAATTAATTGTTGCTACACACAGAAGAAAAAATGAAAGGACAGGACTTGTGAGTCTGCTGGCTTGCCAGCAACATTGTTCAACTCCAAACAGTGACACCATTTGACCTGTCTAATTAGGACACCATTCCCAGGGTTGACCCAACCGTATCAAACGGGTACAAGAGATGTATTCCAGCGGAAAATATCACAAAGCAAAGACACTTCCCACTGGGCACTCCTGTGTGTCCCCATACTCCGATGCAGCTGCCACCTTGTGGTACCGCACAGGAATCATAGTCCATGTTGAGTGTGACTAGCAAAACCAGTCCGTGTTAAGAAAAGTCTTCCACAATTAAAGCATGGTTTTAACGCCGGTGTTGCCATCACATCCATTGAATGTTTTTCATCTCGGACGCTGGGTTCGCAACCTTTCTGCATTATTCCCTCCTCCACCCCCTTGTTCCCATTCCCTTCCTGATTTTTTCCTTTCCATGCAACACTGTTTATAGCATACAGTTCCCACGAATCTACCTCAAGGGCTGTATCATTCATGCCCTACTTGCACACATCTTAATACTGTCATAGAGGCTGACCTCTACATCCAGTCTTCTGTAATTCACTGCACTGCCTGCCTGCCTTGATATTTCACTCATTTATAACAGGATGGTCAACCCTGCTAAACATGGCTTAGGATTTTTTTATCTTCTTTTTCTTTTGTTCGCATGAAATAGATTATCTATATCTGCAATGTCGTCTCTAGTATGAACTTCACTCAGCGACCCACAAAGTTTGACTTGCACCGATGTTTTAGGCGCAAATCTGGTAATTTTAATTTCAGCTTCATAGCAAGCGGGTCACCCCATCTTTGCTCGCTCCTGTGCCAACGAGAAACACACCGAATGTTTATCACAGTCCCTTGTGGAAAGATTGACAGACTGCTGTCTCAGCAAATCTAGCATACACTGGCATTAAAAGCATATGGTAGCCATCCGAAGTGCTAACACAAACAGTCCGACGTTAGAAATGCGGTTCATCATTGATGGTAGCAGAAGTCATTAAAAGATCAGCAGGCGCACATACATGTCAGGGTGGACAGTTCGGTCCCATATGTCAGTACGTCGATCTAGCATACCAGAATAATTAAAATTAGGTGCTGAAATCAGAGGCAACTAGCCAGGGGGCGCACCGTAAAAATTAGGATGCCACGAACAAACGCTATTTTTTTTTTTAAACACCCTCTTCTGAGTCAAAATGTGCAGATATGGCACTCTAGCCATAAACCACACACCAAAATGTGAGATAATGCATCTTAGCTGTAACAACAACTAAATGTGCAGATATAGCAACCTGGCTATAAACACATCAAACCGGGCAAACATCATCTCAAAGGTGACCACAGACAAAGATGAAGCAAACAGAGATAATTTACAAGCTGCATAACTTCTGACTTAAACTAGGGGGAATTTTACCAAGGCAGTGTCAAATTACAGCTTACTCATAACTTTGCAATCTTTAATTAACAATTTGAGCATACATACAGAGCCTCTTGATATGTGTCAAGCAAAACTACTGTCAGTTTATACCACTTTCTCCCCGTGTGGATTCCGGGGCCCCACTGAAGGGGGAAAATAAGAGTAGACCCACTGCCTCCCCAACAAGCTTGTCGTAAGAGTTGATTAACTGGGGCCTTCTTCCCAAGTCGGAGTGCATCTGCACAAGAGACAAGGAACCAACAATTTGCATACAATTAAGTCAGAACTGTTAAACGGATGTGTACGCAACACTAACGTTTTTGAACAAGACTAAAATCCAGAGGTGGACGAACAACCAAAATATTCTGCCACACTTTACAGCTAGTGCAAGTGAAAAGAATAAGACTTCACTGTCAACCGATAATGTCCACATGAGCACACTGGGATTAGAAAAGCCAACCAAGACAAAACAAGACACAAAAACAAGACAACTTACCAGCTTGCTCTAGCAAAACCTCCTCACCACCTGGATGCTGCAATGAAAAAATAAACATCATCATACATATTGGTCACTAGAATTAAAAGAAAAGAGGAAACAGACCTTTTGCACAGCAACGACACAGAGACTACTTTCTGTATGTTTTCTTCATTGACAGGTCGGTAAGTTCGACGTTAGTCTCCCCAAATAAAGTAGGTAACTTTTCATTCACAAGTTTGTTGGGTTAGTCGACTTTCCTGAAGGTTACGGGTGTGTCCTGCTCTGTTGTTTGGTTTCTGCGATGTCTTGCATTTACCTTTTAATTCTAAGAAAGAGAATGCCTGTGACATAGGTTGCAGTACTCTCGGGGGAGGAAGGGGGGTGTTAGATCTAGTTTCTCCATGTTTTTGGAGTGTTAAAAGCGCTGGCCTGCTGAAATATACGATCCGTGATATCAATAGCATTGGGGAACACCTCCGTAACCGTGTGCGAAGGTTACGGGTCTCAGGAACTACCGATCAGAAGTGAGCTAATGTGTATATGGGCAAGGTCTGGGAAGACTAACATCGAACTAACCAACAGGTGTACTGGTATTGTGGATGAGGGTTTCTGCTTCAATAATATCTAATTTGTAACTGACCTTTCCGTCCGATCTACCTTTCCTGCTCTAGATCAAACCCTCTAGAGCAGAGCTTTCCAAGCTGTTCATCATGGTGACATACTTTTTAGAACAACATTTTGCGACACAGTAATTCAGTCTACCAGCAAACAGAGGTTAAACTAACCCCTTATAAGAGATACGGACACAAGTAAAAATTGTAATAATAAAAGGTTTGACAACATAACCTAAATCAAGAACATCTTTCTTTTAAATTACAAATATATATTTCTAAGATTAATCTTTGCCACTGCCTGTCCAAAGCCAGGATGAGGGATGGGCGTGAGGGCTAGCTCCCCAACCTTGTAATCATTTTTGTGGTAAAGAAACTTGCAGGTTCCTAGCAGACATGGATAAGTTTGAAGACAAGTATGCAGGAAGAGTTTGGGGGGCATTACGAGATTCCCAGTGGGGGTTCTAGGGGCCCCATAATGAGAGGGAAACCAGAAACTCACTGCCCCGTAACAGGTAGGTGGTAGAAATCGATTAATGATTAATTAGAAGTGTTTCCTTTGAGTTGCAGTCCTTCTGCTTGAAAGGCAAGGCAAGGAACCAACAGACTGCATAATTATAAAAATAAACCAGATATGTAGCAAAACAGATGTGCATACACAAATTTCAAGTTCTAGAATAAGACATGTTCAGAAGTGGATAAACAAACAGAACTTTCTGCTAGGGTTTATACTGGTGAGTACTAAGAATATAAATAAATTCCCAGTTGCAGGTTCCAAGGCACTACTTGGTGGTGGTGGGGGAGGGGGGGTGGTTTGGTACACTAATGAATGTGAATGCAATATTTCCAACATTTTATACTATACATTTCTTCGATGAATGCACATCAATACAACTCTAATAATGGGTATATATTACTTAATTTTTGTAGTCTATAAATATCAATATATATATATATATATATTATATCCACGTGCAAGTAGGAGCCGGCGAGTCACAACCGCTCTTGCGACAGGACAAAACACAACCCTACACAAATAATTCAATATTTGAAATTGACGTTTCACATCCTTACACTTATTGCAAATAAATTGTTTCTCGAACGATTCGCGTATATATTGAACTAATACCTCACTATTCAAATATTATTTCAAGCTTTTAGAACAATTTTGGTTTTACATTTCACTACGAGATTTTAAATCCAAAACTCTAGACGACCGTCCGTACCTCTTCAAGAAACTTGGCGACATCGTAGACTTTATTGTGAATTACAATCCAGGCTTCCTTGGCATTGTTTTTAGATTTCACCTCGGACAATCTGAATACTTTGGGCTCTCCTGCCATTATGTAGAAAGAGTGCGAGAATGACCTAGAAGGTGGGGAAGCGGGTAGATATACTAGTTAGGAGACTAAAGTTTCAGTGACGAGGCAGAACCCAGGCTCCACTTTCTTGACAAAGTCCAAGTCTGCTGGCTTAGCCGGATATCGCGCCGGGGATTGTGGGAGTTCATTCATTCATTCAGTAGCATGTCCCTCGCGGAACCTCGCTGCCATAACAACCCTCCGGAAAACCTTCCTATCATGAGCAAGATGTCCTGCGTCTGATACACCCATCTGGAGATCATCTGCCACATCCTGCACCCATCTTCTCCTTGGCCTTCCTCTTCCTCTCTTCCCAGGCATATACCCCTCCATTATTGTTCTCTCTAGACCTCCATGACGTTTCAAGTGACCAAAATATTTCAATTTTCTTTGTTTTATTGTCTTTACTAGCCAACCCTCTTCAATATTCAGCTCTTGAAGTATGGATGCATTTGTTCTTTTCTTTACCCAAGATATTCTTGTCTGTAACATTTATATTCAAATGCATTTATTCGCTGTTCCGCTTGTTTAGTAAGTGTCCAGGTCTCACAGGCGTATGTTGCAATGGGAAAGATGCATGCTCTTAAAAATCTGACCTTTGTAATTCTATCTGTACAATTCCATAATTTATTCAGTTGTTTTAGTCTTTGAAGAGCAATTGATAGTCGCCGTTTAATTTCTTTCATTGTGTCACCATTGTTGGTAACCAGTGACCCAAGATATTCGAAATTTCCCACCACTTCCAATCTTTCCTCATTAACATATATTTCCTTCTCCATGGCAGTTTTGTTTGTATGCATTATCTTTGTTTTTGCTGTGTTAAGAAATAAGTTATGATTTTCACTATTTCTTTGGAGTGAGGTTAATAAGTTTTCTAAACCATTTTGTGATGTTGATAGTAATACTGTATCATCAGCATAACGAATTTCTGGTATTTCATGACCACCGATGTTTAGGGCATCATATTGTTCCTTGTTTATATCATCTCTTACATTTCTCATTTTATTTTCGGCGTACAGGTTGAACAAATACGGTGACAGCACACATCCCTGACGGACTCCTTGCTTGATGCCAAACCAGTCTGATGTCTCTCCATCTATTCTGACTGCTGCTTGTTGGTCTTGATAGAGCATTTTAATGAGCTGCACTATATGTGATGGAAAGCCCATATTCCTCATGATTTCCCAAAGCTTCTGATGTTGTACACAGTCAAATGCTTTTGAATAATCCACAAAACATAAGAACAGATTTACATTAAATTCTCTACACTTCTCTATTATTAAACGCATGTTGAATATATGATCTCTTGTTCCTCTTCCCTGTCTAAATCCAGCCTGAGCTACATTAATCTCTTCTTCCATTTTCTTTTGCAGTCTTCTCATTATAATTTTTAGTAGAATTTTACTTGCATGACTGATCAGGGCAATAGTTCGATAGTTTGTACATAATTTCAGGTCACCCTTTTTTGGTATTGGAATGAAGATAGTTCTCTTCCAGTCTTTTGGCCAAATACCATATTTCCATATCTTTTCACATAATGCATGATAGATTTTTATGCTTTCTTCTCCTCCCGCTTTAATCAATTCAGCTGGTATCTCATCACATCCAGGTGATTTACCATTTTTCAGGCTCCTTATTGCCCATGAAATTTCATCTAATGAAGGTTCAGGTTCTGCCTCTACTGTTACTGGTTCATGTATATCATTCATATCCTCACTGTCATTCATATCATACATTCCGCTGCAGTATTCCTGCCATCTTCCTAGAATTTGTCTAGATTCTGTTAAAGTATTTCCCAACTTGTCACAAATAACATTTAACTGAGGTTGAAAATTTCTTGTCAATAACTTCATTTCCTTGAACATTTCGTAATCTCTTCCATTTTTGTGATGCTGCTCTATTTTAATACAGCAATCTTGTACATACTGATTTTTATCCTTTCTTGTGTACTTTCTTATTTCTAGTGTAAAAAATTTATACTTCATCCTACTGTCATTGGTTTCTCCTTTCTTTTTCAGTTCCTTCGTTGTTTTATTAGTTCTAACGTGTATGGTGTGATCCATGGTTTATTTTGCTTAGTCCTGGTGGGTATTAAGTCTTTAGCTGCTGTTATCAAGATATTCCTAGCTTGTACCGCCAGTTCATCAGGTGTCATTTCCTCTTGTACAGACATCAAGACCTCAAAACGGTTCTTCACTTCTACGTTGTATGCATCTGGTATTTTTGTGAGATCAAATCGAAATGGCCTTGGTCCTCGGGTAAGCTTTTTGAGTTTTAATTTTAGATCTGCTTTTAGTAACTGATGATCTGTATCGCAATCTGCACTTCGCAGGGTTTTTGCAGATGTTATGCTCGATCTCCATCTTCTTTGTATTAAAATGTAATCTATCTGATTTTTGGTAACACCGTCAGGGGATGTCCATGTGAAAAGCCTTCTAGGGTGTTGTTTATAAAGTGTGTTAGCTATTGTTAATTCATTTTCTATGCAAAATTCAATCAATTTTTCTCCTGTTTCATTTCTATTACCCAATCCAAATTTTCCTAAAACGTGTCTCTCATTTTCATCTCTGCCTGTACCTACTTTAGCATTAAAATCTCCCATTATTATTATTATATCATTCTGATTAATTTTATTTAATGTGTCTTGCAGTATGGCATAAAAATCTTCAATTTCGCCCTCCTCTGCTGTTGAAGTTGGTGCATATACCTGCATGAAAGTTATGTTTTTTGGACGGCCTTTAAGTCTGATAGTTAGGATTCTATCACTAACTGGATTATATCCCATAATAGCTTTTGCTGTTGTTTTATCTAAACAAAATGCCACTCCGCTCTGGCCTCTTACATCTCTACCAGAATATACGAAAAAGCTTCCATATTCATTGATAAAATGTCCCTTGCCACTCCAACGATGTTCACAAATTCCTAAGATCTGAATATTTAATCTTTCAATCTCATCACATACTACTTTAAGCTTTCCTTCATACAGACTTCTCACATTCCACGTTCCTATTCGCATTCTGTTTCTTAGTCTGACACAGTGGATTTCCTTGGTAACACAGTCAGGATTAACTCCGTCATCACGATTACTAGTACCGACCCCTGTATCACACTCTTCCCCAGTGTTATCTGATCTGCCTGGCCTGGGGGTCTCGCCACCAGATCTCTTCTGTGTTATGTTTTCTTTCATGATTGTTATGGGTTCTTGGCAAAATTTGCAGAAGGTAGTTTGCCGTTGCTTTCCTCCTGAGCAGTGACTATACTAGTCGGTGGCCATAGCCATTGTCTCTACTGATGAGATCATCTGCCTATCGCCGCAGAGTGCAGACCATAACCAACAATACCTGTCGGCTGCTCTTACACTCCATCCACCACCTGCTTCCATGGCTTCACGTAACCCTGATTGGGGGGCTAAACGGGTACTCCACTTTGCCCAAGGGTGTCCCGTAGACTAGCGGAGGAAAGGAGGCGTCTTACTTCTCCTTTGATAGGGGATACCCCTACCCCGCTAACCGGATTGTGGGAGTGGTTGGCAAAAATTGTGGTTTAGAATGGAAATATGGACGAGTTTTTTTTATCTTCTCTATAAAGTCCTGACGGAAATCCAGATAAAAAAAAAAAAAAATCAGTGATCATGGAAATGGGATTTAGTGCTAAATACGACACAAAATATGAATAGAAAGCCCAACGAAAGGGAACGGAAAAGACGCGCACAAATACAACCGAGTCTTTGTCAAGGGGGTACTCAATGCGACACAAATTGTAGTGGAAAACTCAACGTACAAGTCAACAGAGCTTCTAAACAACCAATGTATAATGTGGGGGGAAAAGGAGGGGGGAGGGGTATGGAGGTAAAAGTCTAGATTACGAGACAAAATAAGTAAGGCGTTTGAAAAAAGATGTGGAGAAATATGAACACGTTAATCAAATAAATTAGGATTAAATATGGCTGTATTGTGTATTGATCTCCCCAAGACTGAAAACGCCAAAACTGTTAATGAAAAGATTTTCTAAGGAGCCCATAGATAGAATTTAAAGCAGTAACTGAAATATCCCGATCGTCCTGGTGGTCAGAGCTATTATAATAGAAACGGGGGAGATGGCGGTTTAAGAATCTCACCCATTATAAACATCCTTAAGATGTTCGCGGAAACGATCTGCTAGCTTCCTACAGGTTTCCATAATTTATTTGTCCGTCTATGATAGGACCTACAAACTAGGAAATGTGCGTCTATGATGGGACCTATAAACTAGGGAATGTCAGTCTATGATGGGACCTATAAACTAGGGAATGTCAGTCTATGATGGGACCTATAAACTAGGTAATGCCAGTCTATGATAAGACTTATAAACTAGGGAATGTCCGTCTATGATGGGACCTATAAACTAGGGAGTGTCATGTCTATGATGGGACCTATAAACTATGGAATGTCCGTCTATGATGGGACCTATAAACTATGAAATGTCCGTCTAATGGGACCTATAAACTAGGGAATATCAGTCTATGATGGGACTTATAAACTATGGAATGTCCGTCTATGATGGGACCTATAAACTAGGGAATGTCCGTCTATGATGGGACCTATAAACTAGGGAATATCAGTCTATGATGGGACTTATAAACTATGGAATGTCCGTCTATGATATGACCTATAAACTAGGGAATGTCAGTCTATGATGGGACCTATAAACTATGGAATGTCCGTCTATGATGGGACCTATAAATTATGGAATGTCCGTCTATAATAGGGACCTATAAACTAGGGGGTGTCAGTCTATGAGGATATCTATAAAGTAGAGAATGTCCATCTATGATGGAACCTATAAACTAGGGAATGTGCGCCTATGATGGGATCTATAAACTAGGGAATCTCAGTCTATGATAGGACGTATAAACTAGGGGGTGTCTGTCTATGATAGGACCTATAAACTAGGGAATGTGCGTCTATGATGGGACCTATAAACTAGGGAATTTCCGTCTATTATAAGACCTACAAACTAGGGAATGTGCGTCTATGATGTGACATATAAACTAGGGAATGTCCGTCTATGATGGAACCTACAAACTAGGAAATGGCAGTCTATGATGGGACCTATAAACGAGGGAATGTCCGTCTATGATAGGACCTATAAACTATGGGGTGTCCGTCTAGGATAGGACCTACAAACTAGGGAATGTGCGTCTATGATAGGACCTATAAACTGGGGAATGTCCGTCTATAATAGGACATATAAACTAGGGAATGTCCGTCAATAATAGGACCTATAAACTAGGGGGTGTCAGTCTTTGATGGGACCTATAAACTAGAGAATGTCCGTCTATGATGGAAGCTATAAACTAGGGCATGTCAGTCTATGATATGACCTATAAACTAGGGAATCTCATTCTATGATGGGACATATAAACTAGGGAATCTCAGTCTATGATGGGACCTATAAACTAGGGAATGTCAGTCTCTGATGGGACCTATAAACTAGGGAATGTCAGTCTATGATAGGACCTATAAACTAGGAAGTGTCTGTCTATGATAGGACCTACAAACTAGGAAATGTGCGTCTATGATGGGACCTATACACTAGAGAATGTCCGTCTATGATAGTACCTACAAACTATGGATTGTGCGTCTATGATGAGACCTATAAACTAGGGAATGTCCGTCTATGATGGGACCCATAAACTAGAAGATGTCAGTCTCTGATGGGACCTATAAACTAGGGAATGTCCGTCTATGATAGGACCAATAAACTAGGAAGTGTCTGTCTATGATAGGACCTACAAACTAGGAAATGTGCGTCTATGATGGGACCTATACACTAGAGAATGTCCGTCTATGATAGTACCTACAAACTATGGATTGTGCGTCTATGATGAGACCTATAAACTAGGGAATGTCCGTCTATGATGGGACCCATAAACTAGGAAATGTCCGTCTATGATGGGACCTATAAACTATGAAATGTCCGTCTAATGGGACCTATAAACTAGGGAATATCAGTCTATGATGGGACTTATAAACTATGGAATGTCCGTCTATGATATGACCTATAAACTAGGGAATGTCAGTCTATGATGGGACCTATAAACTATGGAATGCCCGTCTATGATGGGACCTATAAATTATGGAATGTCCGTCTATAATAGGGACCTATAAACTAGGGGGTGTCAGTCTATGAGGATATCTATAAAGTAGAGAATGTCCATCTATGACGGAACCTATAAACTAGGGAATGTGCGCCTATGATGGGATCTATAAACTAGGGAATCTCAGTCTATGATAGGACGTATAAACTAGGGGGTGTCTGTCTATGATAGGACCTATAAACTAGGGAATGTCCGTCTATTATAAGACCTACAAACTAGGGAATGTGCGTCTATGATGTGACCTATAAACTAGGGAATGTCCGTCTATGATGGGACCTACAAACTAGGAAATGGCAGTCTATGATGGGACCTATAAACGAGGGAATGTCCGTCTATGATAGGACCTATAAACTATGTGGTGTCCGTCTAGGATAGGACCTACAAACTAGGGAATGTGCGTCTATGATGGGACCTATAAACTAGGGAATGTCCGTCTATGATGGGACCTATAAACTAGGGAGTGTCCATCTTCCTACAATGGGACCCTAGTTTGGCCTACTATTGGCCACCAGAGGCTAACCCGGCAACATGAAAACAGACAACATCCGGCTGGAGTCCAGGAGTGAGTCAGTCAGGACGACCTGCGATTTTTGTCTATTCATTTCTTCTTCACTCAACGTTGTTTTGGTTCCGCAAGGTCCGTAAACACTTATAAATTGTGGTCACTCTGTTTAACTCACATTAGCTATTTATTAAATTTACAAAGAAGACACAGCAACCCTTTCCTTTCGCTTTTTTGATGATGATCTGACCGTTGTCAACCCCCGCAGACCTGTCAGTGTCAGTCTAAGATTGTTTAGGGATCCGGTTTGTTTTATTTTTATTTGTAATCACTGTAGAGAGAACGCATATTTGGATTATTAATTATTAAGTGTAGTAAGTTTATTTAAACAGGTTTCTGTGTCACATTTGTGGAATAAATACAGAAAAAGTAATTAACTAATCTGTAAACAACAATATCCTGTTCTACCTATCCTGGTCAGGTTTTAATTGGAAAATAGTTTGTTGGGTGGCAGTGAGTCTAAGTCTTTTCTAGTTTCTTCCACAATGAGACCCTGAAACCCACATGAGGTTACACCAAATTCAAGTTCTCGAACAAGACCAGGTTCCAGAAGTGGACGAACAACCAGAACTTTCATATTGACTTTCCAGCCTGTCGGAGTCAAGAAGAAGCAAAAGATCTTTTTCATGAATAGTGTTGTCAGTGTATCTGTAATGAGATAATTATTGATAATTAATTTTTTTACCAGATGACGTAAAGTTACCATGAGCGGGCAGCAGTTATGGAGTAGTGAAAATCAATATCAGACAGTTATGGAAGTTCGTGTTCGTAGCAACACAAAATCTACAACCGTGCCAGGACATGGCGGCCCTTGTCCCTCTAGTGGACACAGGCAATGCAAAGATGGCAGCTGCATTGCCAAAGTTGATTTATGTGGTGAGTATATTTTTCTGTTACATAATCTTCTTATGCTTTGCCTGGAACAGACATTCCTGCTCGGAACTCATTGTCTCCTCTGTCGTCTCATGTTTTAATAAAGTTCATATTGCTTAAATGTGGTAACAACTCATGGCTTTCGCGTAGCTAAGAGCTTCACATCATTCAGAGAGCATCCTGGTTAAGTTAAACATGATGACAGATCACAATAGTCAGCTTCAGAAATCCTTAAAATAAAGTCACATTAATTAGAATTAACCAGGCAAATAAGTAAAGTAAAGATCCCTTTTCATACCTTTAGGTGCATTGGGCATATGGGAAGAGCACCTATATTTTTACAGACCAATCGGCACTAGGTGGGTTATGAGGTCAGCATTAGGCCGGCCGTCAACCAGACAAATGATAGTCTTAATTTATTGTGGTGATTCCCACTCCAAGACGTGGAGTCATAACCTGGTTTGGCAGTGGTGTAGATAAAGATGGTGGAACATAGAGATATTAAAATAAGAATACAAAAAGCAAGTTTTCATAGTTACTAGTAAACTACAAACCTTCATTAACTGACTTCTGCACAGAGCAGTGGTAACTATATGATAAAGTGAAATAACTGATATTGAGCTTTAGAAAAGAACTAAACAAATTCCAGTGAATCGGAGGTGAGGAAAAGATGCTAGCATTGGATAGAACACACATAGAGAAAACCTGAAAATAACTCCAATGGCTTTAAACTGAAAAGTTAAAATTCAAAGTCGAGAGCATGGACCCCATTGCACTGTGTTTTACCTTATATGGCTCAGTCTCTCACAACAGAAAGGCTAGCTGCCTGCCAAGAGCATCCCACAGAGCACGACCTCTGTAGCTCCGGTGATGTACTGACTCTCTATTGTCTTCTTCTGGCTCTCGTCATGACATGATTCCTTTCACTGACTGACAACACACGAGAAAACATGGACGCTGGCGAACACACTCGCTGGTATCGCAGCCAGTAAATGTTTTTGGACAACATAGTCACTCATATCTATCCTCACTTATCTAACATGTCAACTTTACCTCATAATACACATTCCATCCAACAATAGAATGAACAATGACGATTCCATCCGATCAAAACACAAACATTCTCAGCTGGCTACGACTTCCGTTCGCCGCTACTGATGGCCAGGAAGGCGTTGGAAAAAACACTGTGCAGACACGTCAGACTTAAACACTCTTTCTGGATCCCGCAGACACTCCATCATACTTCATGTATTTATTTCCTATTCCTAAACGAGACTGGCTACCAGCCCTTTCTTAGGCGTTATATAACCTTCTAATGCCCTCCTCGTGTTTTTGAATTCGTGTTCTCCGTTTTACACGAATTACATTCGGCCAGAAGTTTTTGTGTGACCCCCGTGAATAATTATACTTCACATGAAGTTTGACTGTCAGCATTTCTCTACATGTGAATAATTATACTTCACGTGAAGTTTGACTGTCAGCCTTTTCTCTACAACCCACATGCTGTCCCAGTTAGACTCAAAATATTCCACTCACATTTATTACTGACGTCATTCCGTCTAGAACATAATTTTTCTAGGAGAAAATGAGGCTCACTACAGGTGACAATTCCCAGGGATCTCCGTAAAAATTGCACTTGTGAACTGAAGGGTGCAGCACCGTGAAACAAACCCAAAAGCCTTAGAGTGCGAGGCAGAAGGCTTGACTACTTCACCACGGAGACCCCCTTTAAACCGGAGCTTACAAGGGTGTCAGAATCAAGACACACCAACAAATACATGGAGAAGGAGACTAGAGAGCGAGGTTAAACAAACATAAGGCGAGCTGCCTACGATAGCGTACAAAGAAAAAGCGAGCAACCCTTTTGACAGATACTTTCTGTTGTTAACTTCATAGCATTTTTGGTTGCAAGCACCTTTCTCCTGGTCCTAGGTGTCTTTCTCCTGTTGTGTTTTATTCGTTTGCCAACATAAAACATGTGTTCACTGCGACACTTGCCTCATTATAACTTGTACAAATTTAATACTATTATTTGTTGCTCGCTTTGTACTGGAAAGGCTAATTCAGGCAAACAAATGCCTGCTAAGATTGACTGAAAGGGGCAAATATTGCAGCTATGTTATAAACGGGCACAATGCATTTACGACTTTAGATGAATGCAGAAGAAGAAGAAGTTGTCCAGAATGTTCAATTTTTTCCTTTTTTAGATATCCTTCTCTGTCTCCTTCTGCCTGTCTTGATAAACATTTATCCTGTACAAGCCAGGATAGTGACCCAAGAGAAGGAGTTATTGATTTAATGTTGATGTTATTTCTGGTACTGAAGCAAAGTTGCATGCACTGGTTGAGACATGTCTTTCACGTGCAGGACAGTCACATTCCAAAGGATCTTCTGTGTGGTGAACTGGTAATAGGGATAAGACCTGCAGAAAGACCAAAGCTACGCTATAAGGACATATGCAGACGTGACCTGAAAGATATTAACATTAGATCAGACACTTGGGAAGGATCAGCTGCAGAGCACCTCCTGTGGAGGCGGCAGTGAAAGATGGACTGTCAGTTTGTAAGAGGTCAAAGGCAGCAAGCTATTGAGAGGAGACTTCTGAGAGACAACCAGCCTCAGAACGACAAGAGTATGAGCGGTTTTCTGTGGGCTAAGTGGCAAAGACTACAACTCCAGCCCATAACTATACAGTAACAGCAGATGCTGTTCCCGGAATCAGCGGCAGAGTTGTACCTTCCCTAGGGACTGACAGTTACCTACTACTACAACTAGTACTGTTTCTGGTAGTTTTGACACAGTTTTGTATTGTCTGTTTTGTTTGTAGCCGAGGAGCAGACGATGAACCAGAACACAATCTTCATCATGATCGTTGTTGGCATGGTGGTGGTTATTGTGTTGATCATCTTGTACTGCTTCCAGCAAAGGTCCCAGCGCCGTGCTTTACGCAGACATGCAAGTACGCAACCAGTCATCTTGTTCACTTATACCTACTGTGTTATTAATCATTTTATATTTAGGTGTTTAGTGGAGCTGTAGTGTATCCACCGGATATTTGTTTAAATGTGTGATTCGATTTCCAGCTTGATGGGTGTCATTGAATACCCAGGACCTTGTGGGTATGTCATCATCATCTACTTCATCCTTTGGGCTGGTGGTAAAACTTTCTCATCATCCAGTCATTCAGTTGCCTGTCTAGTTCTGCTGTATGTTTATATTTATAGTGTGTCAGTAATTTTACCAGATTGACAAGATAGTTCACTTAGTTTTTCTACAGTACTTAATAAAAGAGGATAAACTAGAAGATGTAAGGTATCTACAGCCAGTGGTAGATTTCTACACAACTTGGCAGAAGAGGATTAACCTGGTGATGTAATATATCTACAGCCCATGGTAGAAGATGTCTCTGTACAAGAGGATAGAAGCTGTTTTTGCACCCCAAGGTGGAAGGAACATTTGCACCCTTGGGAAGAAATATCTCTACACTTAGAGAAGAGAAAGAATATCTACACCCTACGGTCAACCAGGGTCCTTTTGGGAAGAAATATCTCTACACTTAGAGATAGAGAAGAGAAAGAATATCTACACCCTACGGTCAACCAGGGTCCTTTTGGGAAGAAATATCTCTACACTTAGAGAAGAGAAAGATTATTTACACCCTACGGTCAACCAGGGTCCTTTTGGGAAGAAATATCTCTACACTTAGAGAAGAGAAAGAATATCTACACCCTACGGTCAACCAGGGTCCTTTTGGGAAGAAATATCTCTACACTTAGAGAAGAGAAAGAATATCTACACCCTACGGTCAACCAGGGTCCTTTTGGGAAGAAATATCTCTACACTTAGAGAAGAGAAAGAATATCTACACCCTACGGTCAACCAGGGTCCTTTTGGGAAGAAATATCTCTACACTTAGAGAAGAGAAAGATTATTTACACCCTACGGTCAACCAGGGTCCTTTTGGGAAGAAATATCTCTACACTTAGAGAAGAGAAAGAATATCTACACCCTACGGTCAACCAGGGTCCTTTTGGGAAGAAATATCTCTACACTTAGAGAAGAGAAAGATTATTTACACCCTACGGTCAACCAGGGTCCTTTTGGGAAGAAATATCTCTACACTTAGAGAAGAGAAAGATTATTTACACCCTACGGTCAACCAGGGTCCTTTTGGAAGAAATATCTCTACACTTAGAGAAGAGAAAGAATATCTACACCCTACGGTCAACCAGGGTCCTTTTGGGAAGAAATATCTCTACACTTAGAGAAGAGAAAGATTATTTACACCCTACGGTCAACCAGGGTCCTTTTGGGAAGAAATATCTCTACACTTAGAGAAGAGAAAGAATATCTACACCCTACGGTCAACCAGGGTCCTTTTGGGAAGAAATATCTCTACACTTAGAGAAGAGAAAGATTATTTACACCCTACGGTCAACCAGGGTCCTTTTGGGAAGAAATATCTCTACACTTAGAGAAGAGAAAGATTATTTACACCCTACGGTCAACCAGGGTCCTTTTGGGAAGAAATATCTCTACACTTAGAGAAGAGAAAGAATATCTACACCCTACGGTCAACCAGGGTCCTTTTGGGAAGAAATATCTCTACACTTAGAGAAGAGAAAGATTATTTACACCCTACGGTCAACCAGGGTCCTTTTGGGAAGAAATATCTCTACACTTAGAGAAGAGAAAGAATATCTACACCCTACGGTCAACCAGGGTCCTTTTGGGAAGAAATATCTCTACACTTAGAGAAGAGAAAGATTATTTACACCCTACGGTCAACCAGGGTCCTTTTGGGAAGAAATATCTCTACACTTAGAGAAGAGAAAGATTATTTACACCCTACGGTCAACCAGGGTCCTTTTGGGAAGAAATATCTCTACACTTAGAGAAGAGAAAGAATATCTACACCCTACGGTCAACCAGGGTCCTTTTGGGAAGAAATATCTCTACACTTAGAGAAGAGAAAGATTATTTACACCCTACGGTCAACCAGGGTCCTTTTGGGAAGAAATATCTCTACACTTAGAGAAGAGAAAGAATATCTACACCCTACAGTCAACCAGGGTCCTTTTGGGAAGAAATATCTCTACACTTAGAGAAGAGAAAGATTATTTACACCCTACGGTCAACCAGGGTCCTTTTGGGAAGAAATATCTCTACACTTAGAGAAGAGAAAGAATATCTACACCCTACGGCCAACCAGGGTCCTTTTGGGAAGAAATATCTCTACACTTAGAGAAGAGAAAGAATATCTACACCCTACAGTCAACCAGGGTCCTTTTGGGAAGAAATATCTCTACACTTAGAGAAGAGAAAGATTATTTACACCCTACGGTCAACCAGGGTCCTTTTGGGAAGAAATATCTCTACACTTAGAGAAGAGAAAGAATATCTACACCCTATGGCCAACCAGGGTCCTTTTGGGAAGAAATATCTCTACACTTAGAGAAGAGAAAGATTATTTACACCCTACGGTCAACCAGGGTCCTTTTGGGAAGAAATATCTCTACACTTAGAGAAGAGAAAGAATATCTACACCCTACGGTCAACCAGGGTCCTTTTGGGAAGAAATATCTCTACACTTAGAGAAGAGAAAGAATATCTACACCCTACAGTCAACCAGGGTCCTTTTGGGAAGAAATATCTCTACACTTAGAGAAGAGAAAGATTATTTACACCCTACGGTCAACCAGGGTCCTTTTGGGAAGAAATATCTCTACACTTAGAGAAGAGAAAGAATATCTACACCCTATGGTCAACCAGGGTCCTTTTGGGAAGAAATATCTCTACACTTAGAGAAGAGAAAGATTATTTACACCCTACGGTCAACCAGGGTCCTTTTGGGAAGAAATATCTCTACACTTAGAGAAGAGAAAGAATATCTACACCCTATGGTCAACCAGGGTCCTTTTGGGAAGAAATATCTCTACACTCAAAAGATAGTTAGTTGCTTATCCTTTATTTACAGGATGTTGCAGAACCAACCCCAGCATTGTTTGGCTGTTGTGGTTTTCCTAGGCAAGTTTACGTCCAGCAGTTTGCCATTGCTTTCTGGATGGTTGGCTTCTCAATACCTTTATCGAAACCAGCGCAAGGCCTGCAACTGGGATCGAACCCAGCACCCCGCATTACAAAGCGCATTTGTAACGCCTAAGCCACAGACACCGATACTCAAAAGATAGAATAGGGAAAAACTCAGCGAGATGAAAAGTTGCTGCTACAATTGTGGACCTGTGTGTGGTTTTATTTACATTTACATTCCACTGCAGCACAGGATAACATGATGTGTGGCTCTGTCTCCATTTTAATTGAATTGTCCTATAAAACATTGATCTGTGGGTTATCTATCAACGCTATTTATCCTTTAAATTACCTAGTGCTCTCAGAACAGGCTTTGTTTGTGGCTGTGGTGACCTCTTTCAGTGTCCACAGACTACACTTTATCTGGCTCTTTGTTTGATGTTTAAGTTTTATATGTATTCATATATATTATGTATTTATCACATATATTTAACTATATCATATATATTCAACAGAAAGATTTGTTCCAGCAACACTCTGCAAACAGAATTTTAAACGATTGAACAAACACTGCTTTTTGAATGGCTATCCAGGTGGTTTTATTCATCACCACTGCTAGCTGCCCAAACCAATTACCAGAGAAATGTCGGTATAAAAAACCCAGCTTATATCCACGTTAACGTTTCGCGGAGATGAGGTTATGCAATGTTTATTTGACCGACTCAGACTTTTTACACAGCCATACCTGTTATCATATTTCAAAACCACCATAATTCCTACGCCCTCGGTAAAACAACCAGTGTCAACGTACGCCAAATCAAATTATATCTACCAATTTAAATGCAGTTGTGAAGCTGCCTATGTGGGCAGAACTGATCGACACCTGGAGAAACGTGTCGCTGAGCACATTCCAGTATGGGTGGAAAAAGCCATGCAAAATAATGTTCAGAATGAGAATACCGTCTGTAAAGATCATCCCTCCTCAATTGCTCGCCATCTTTTAAAATCTGGACACACTTTACTCCGGGTTTCGAGTGTTGACTAGATCCCCAGGCCACCCTCTGTGTATCAGTCTCCTCAGATGTCGCACATATTTACATGCAGTTGAAATTGTCTTCTGTATTCCTGTGTCCACAGTCCAGGGTAACCTTGATTCTGTTGTGGGCGACGGTGACAACACATCTTTGAACATGCCACCGCCATCTTACGAGGAGGTTGTGAACACAAACCTGTACCCAGCAACTCCCGTACTACAACGTGGGGTAAGTTGATCATTTTGTCAATGTTGAGACAGTTGCCTGTCTAGTTCTGCTGTCTTTAATTCTGTGTATAGTGTCAGTACAAGAGGGTAAAAGCTGTTTTTGCACCACACGGTAGAAGAAATATTTCCACCTCAAGGTAGAAGGCATATTTGTACCCTTGGGTAGAAGTATCTCGAAACTATCGCTGGACCAAGAAATCAACATCAGGATAGGTAAGGCAGCAACAATGAGCACATTAACAAAGAGTTTGGAAGAACAGAATGCTCAAATGAAAACAAAAATTCTTGTCTATCAGACTTGTGTTTTCAGCACTCTGCTTTATAGCAGTGAAACTTGGTCAACCTGTTTGCACCAGGAGAGACAGTTAAATAGCTTTCACATGCGATGCCTAAGATGAATGCTTGGCATCAGCTGGCAAGACAAAATCACAAACACTGAGGTACTGGAAAGAACAGGTACTACAACAGTCTTTAACATGCTCAGCCTACAAAGGCTCAGGTGTCTGGGTCACACCTGGAGAATGGAGGATGGCAGAGTCCCTAAAAACATTTTTTACGATGAATGAAAGACAGGAAGATGTCGAGGCCGACCTCTACTACAGTTTTAAAGATGTGTGCAAGCGGGACATGAATGATACAGGTATTGAGGTGGACTCATGGGAAACAAAATGCCATGGACCGTGTTGTGTGGAAAGGGCGTATCAGGAAGGGAATGAGAGTGAAGGAAGAAATGATTGCAGAAAGGATGAGAACTGAGCATCTGAAAAGAAATAGATTAAACACAAATGTTGACAACAATGGTCCTGAAATCCCATGATATCATTGTGGAAGACTTTTCTTGACACGGGCGGGTCTTGCTAGTCACACTCGCCATCGCCATGGGCTGTGAGTCTCATGCCTCCTCATAGCACAAATTAACTCTATCGTCTGGAAAGACGGAAAGGTGCCAATCATTCGTGTAAAAGTATCTCTGCAACCAAAGGGTAGAAAGGTTGATATTTTGCCCTCTTGGATAGACGTATCTACACCCAGAGGGTAGGCTGCTTTGTGATCTCTTGGGGATCGTCACTGCAGCTACTGTGTTCCGTATTTATGTGACACTCTCGTCAATTGGCGGGCAGTTCTATAGCAGGAAACCGAGCCATATATGATAAAACCTGGTATAGTGTTCTTCTCGACTTTAACCGCTACCTTTTTTTCAGCCTGTGGGCCAGATTTCTTCTCTGTGACTGGCAAGCTCTTGATGTTTGTTTTGGTGCACAGCAAACTCATGCTGCAGAATTAGCAATGCCCATTTGATGTAGGTGTCCACAATTCTAAACTGCCAGTTTCTGCCAATCCTATTTAGGCTGTCATGCTTTGGTCTGTAATTTTTAATGTCATCTGTCAGTTTCTCTTCATGGAATACTTAAGAACATCTTTGCTTGATTCTAATTTGATTTTAATTTAAAAAAAAAATAACCATTGAGTTCTCAGGAGAAGAAAATGAGAACTGCTACGCTAGAAGAAGAGATGAATGCTGTATTTTTGTTTCTTTTATATTTAGATGTCAGCTGTTGATGAGCCGAGGACTCCACCTCCAAATTATGATACAGCCTTAGACATTTTAGCCTCCAGTCATGATTCTATATTGCCGTTGAAACAAGCATCCAAAAGTCTGGTTGTGCGGAGATCTGTATCGACTGAGTTCGGACTTAATGGCAGTAACCGGGTATCCGGTTCTGAGTTTCGTCGGTTTTTCTCAAACCAGGAGCAGAGATAATGTTGCTGGTGTAAGAGTTAGTAGCCAGGTACATCGTTAGAACAATCATTTTTGAGCAGTGGAGCAACTCACAACTGCAGCGCATCAACCGAAATACAATAGGTGAACTAGTCAGGTGTCAGGAACAAATAATTGTGAGTAGCAAAATGAACGTTACAGCAAGAGAGCCTTCATCAGTATCACACAACACTGGTAGTGATACCAGTTCTTTTTCCTCCCTGTTCTACCCTGTCAGTGATTTTCAGATGAGGCGGCCACAGGCTTGGATGAAGGCTATAGTGCAGTGAATGTCCTCCACTAATCCACACGGCCTGGTTTCCTCTAGAATGCTGACTAGCTAGACCTGGCATCTCCCTAATGCCAGTTATGTAACATCTCCATACAAGCGACGTAAAGTGACAGTTGTTTAGAGGTGAAGTACGGTCTGCAGTCTGTATGTGTGTGCGCTCGCATGCATGCATGAGAGAGAGCATTTGGCAGTGTTTACAACCAAGAGAAATGACTAGCCAAACGGTTAAGAATGCTTGGCTCTCATTTGGAAGATAAAGGTTTGAATCTTCAGTATGGTTGTAGGTTTCTTCTGTCAAGGGCAACAGTGAAATCCAGTCTATGGTGACTGGTTCAGTGGCTTCCCCTGCCTACACAGCAAAAGTTAGAGAGAACATTTTGGGCTCATGGCATTATCAGGTGATACAGTGGCAAAATCTTCATGTTAACCGGGGTAAAGTTTTGGATGTTCATCCACCTCTGGACTTTAGTCTTGTTCCAAAACATGAGTGTTGCCTGCACGTCTGTTTACAGATTTGACTTATTTCTGTACAGACTGTTGGTTCCTTGCCTCTCAACCAGATGCAGTCAGACTTTGAAGGAAGCCCTCCAGTTAGTCATCCCTTTCGACTTTCTTGTTGGGAAGACAGTGCGTCTATTCTTGTTTTCCAATCGGGCCTCAGAACTCACACAAGAAGAAATTGTATGTGATAATCAAATGTTGGCCCGCTGGTAACTGCAAAGGTAGCAATTCATAAAGTAGTATTTCTACTCATAATTACACAGTTGAGAACATTGGTTGGCGATAAAATCACAAAATGCTAAAAACCTGGCACAGTCAGCTTGAAAGTAATTGGTATTACTGTCAACTTTTAGAGTAGGATGTTAGAATTCACATTTCTTTGTAAAGTATGACTTATGGTTTTTTGAATTTTGAGATTTTTAACCTCCATATTGAAATTTCTGTAAAATATCTGTTTGTAAATAGTGGCATAAATATTTTCTGTCTGACACATTCTGTGCCTGTAAAATATGTTGCCATGAATTCCAGAGAACAATTGTTTACATAAATTTACAGTACAACTGGTTTAATGGTATGCTAGAAGTAACTTACTTGGTTGTCAGTGTAAAGCTGTCAGTGATTTTGGTTTTTCAATTAAGTATTTTTTTTTGTAAATTTGTATTTTGGAAAAAATGTTTATAAATGTAAAAAAAAAAAAAATCTGGCTGTGTCTTCTGCCAAAGTTATTTATTGGTGTCTTAAAATTGCTGAAACCTGCATTGTTTTCCATGTCTGCTGATGATTCTGGACTCGGGTGTCACATACAATATTTTATCCCAGGTTTATTTTAGCGAGTTATTTTATCGTATTGAGGGAGCTAATTTATCCCATTTTGCTACATTTTTGATAAACCGCCTGAATGCTTTTGGTAAATGTTTAACTGGGTGGCAGTGTTATTTTGGGTGTCGTGTGAACCTCCTGATTTCTGTATTTGACCGTATTTTACTGTTTTCTGTTACATCCAAGTTCTGATATTTTTCTATTTCACTTATCACCAGTGTTTATAATAATAGTTAAACATCTCCTGTGCTTCGCAATCATCAAGGAATAAAGTAAGGGTTTTTGAACTGAAATAGTGTGGAGGAAGAACCCGGAAGAAAAGAAATACTAACGACCTAAAAGATCTGAACACGAAGGAAGATTGGCCAGAAAACAACATCTTACCTTGAAAACTGAAATAATTTGGCTGTGTCAAGTAGCTGTCAGGCATGGTACCTGGAAAAAGGGGCGGAGGCCAGCCAGAATAAAGATGGGCACAGGATTTCAGTGACACCTTAGATAGGAAAGTGCATGAGGCAAAAGATCTGATGAGAGACAAGAAATTTTTTCAGATGGGCTGTGATGAGAGCGATGTTCTGCTGCACCAGTGGCTCTCAATCTTCCAAATGCTGCGACCCTTTAATACAGTTTCCTCATGTTGTGGCAACCCTTTAATACAGTTCCCTCATGTTGTGGCGACCCTTTAATACAGTTCTCTCATGTTGTAGCGACCCTTTAATACAGTTCCCTCATGTTGTGGCGACCCTTTAATACAGTTCCCTCATGTTGTGACAGCCCTTTAATACAGTTCCCTCATGTTGTGACGACCCTTTAATACAGTTCCCTCATGTTGTGGCAACCCTTTAATACAGTTCCCTCATGTTGTGTCGACCCTTTAACACAGTTCCCTCATGTTGTGACGACCCTTTAATACAGTTCTCTCAGGTTGTGGTGACCCTTTAATACAGTCCCTCATGTTGTGGCGACCCTTTAATGCAGTTCCCTCGTGTTGTGGCGACCCTTTAATACAGTTCTCTCAGGTTGTGGCGACCCTTTAATGCAGTTCTCTCATGTTGTGGCGACCCTTTAATACAGTTCCTCATGTTGTGGCGACCCTTTAATACAGTTTCTCATGTTGTGGCGACCCTTTAATACAGTTCCTCATGTTGTGGCGACCCTTTAATACAGTTCCCTCATGTTGTGGCGACCCTTTAATACAGTTCCCTCATGTTGTGGCGACCCTTTAATACAGTTCCCTCATGTTGTGGCGACCCTTTAATACAGTTCCTCATGTTGTGGCGACCCTTTAATACAGTTCCCTCATGTTGTGGCGACCCTTTAATACAGTTCCCTCATGTTGTGGCGACCCTTTAATACAGTTCCCTCATGTTGTGGCGACCCTTTAATACAGTTCCCTCATCTTGTGGCGACCCTTTAATACAGTTCTCTCATGTTGTGGCGACCTTTTAATACAGTTCCCTCATGTTGTGGCGACCCTTTAACAGTATGTTGTGACGACCCTTTAATACAGTTCCCTCATGTTGTGACGACCCTTTAATACAGTTCCCTCATGTTGTGACGACCCTTTAATACAGTTCCCTCATGTTGTGACGACCCTTTAATACAGTTCCCTCATGTTGTGGTGACCCTTTAATACAGTTCCCTCATGTTGTGGCGACCCTTTAATACAGTTCCCTCATGTTGTGACGACCCTTTAATACAGTTCCTCATGTTGTGACGACCCTTTAATACAGTTCCTCATGTTGTGACGACCCTTTAATACAGTTCCCTCATGTTGTGACGACCCTTTAATACAGTTCCCTCATGTTGTGACGACCCTTTAATACAGTTCTCTCATGTTGTAGCGACCCTTTAATACAGTTCCCTCATGTTGTGACGACCCTTTAATACAGTTCCCTCATGTTGTGACGACCCTTTAATGCAGTTCCCTCATGTTGTAGCGACCCTTTAATACAGTTCCCTCATGTTGTGACGACCCTTTAATACAGTTCTCTCATGTTGTAGCGACCCTTTAATACAGTTCTCTCATGTTGTAGCGACCCTTTAATACAGTTCTCTCATGTTGTAGCGACCCTTTAATACAGTTCCCTCATGTTGTGACGACCCTTTAATACAGTTCTCTCATGTTGTGACGACCCTTTAATACAGTTCCTCATGCTGTGGCGATCCTTTAATACAGTTCCCTCATGTTGTGACGACCCTTTAATACAGTTCCTCATGTTGTGGCGACCCTTTAATACAGTTCCTTCATGTTGTGGCGACCCTTTAATACAGTTCCCTCATGTTGTGGCGACCCTTTAATACAGTTCCCTCATGTTGTGGCGACACTTTAATACAGTTCCCTCATGTTGTGGCGACACTTTAATACAGTTCCCTCATGTTGTGGCGACCCTTTAATACAGTTCCCTCATGTTGTGGCGATCCTTTAATGCAGTTCTCTCAGGTTGTGGTGACCCTTTAATACAGTTCTCTCATGTTGTGGCGATCCTTTAATACAGTTCTCTCAGGTTGTGGTGACCCTTTAATACAGTTCTCTCAGGTTGTGGTGACCCTTTAATACAGTTCTCTCAGGTTGTGGTGACCCTTTAATACAGTTCCCTCATGTTGTAGCGACCCTTTAATGCAGTTCCCTCATGTTGTGGCTACCCTTTAATACAGTTCCCTCATGTTGTGGCGACCTACAGTTGCCTCATGTTGTGGCGACCCTTTAATACAGTTCCCTCATGTTGTGGCGACCCTTTAATACAGTTCCCTCATGTTGTGGCGACCCTTTAATACAGTTCCCTCATGTTGTGGCGACCTAAAGTTGCCTCATGTTGTGGCGACCCTTTAATACAGTTCCCTCATGTTGTGGCGACCCTTTAATACAGTTCCCTCATGTTGTGGCGACCCTTTAATACAGTTCCCTCATGTTGTGGCGACCCTTTAATACAGTTCCCTCATGTTGTGGCGACCCTTTAATACAGTTCCCTCATGTTGTGGCTACCCACAGTTCCCTCATGTTGTGGCGACCCTTTAATACAGTTCCCTTATGTTGTGGCGACCCTTTAATACAGTTCCCTCATGTTGTGGTGATCCTTTAATACAGTTCCCTCATGTTGTGGCTACCCACAGTTCCCTCATGTTGTGGCGACCCTTTAATACAGTTCCCTTATGTTGTGGTGATCCTTTAATACAGTTCCCTCATGTTGTGGTGATCCTTTAATACAGTTCCCTCATGTTGTGGCGACCTTTTAATACAGTTCCCTCATGTTGTGGCTACCCACAGTTCCCTCATGTTGTGGCGACCCTTTAAAACAGTTCCCTCATGTTGTGACGACCCTTTAATACAGTTCCCTTATGTTGTGGCGACCCTTTAAAACAGTTCCCTCATGTTGTGGCGACCCTTTAA